TCTGATGACAAGAGATTCTTGTCATGTGAGACTAATGGTTGATTCCAACAAAAGAAAGAATATGCACACAGGAAAATAAAAAAATTATGCTCTTACAAGATGCAAAAATGAGTAAAAGGAAGATACATGCAAGAAGCAACTCAAAGTTATGGATAATAAAACTCATCCTAATTGAAATTGTTTTTCTCTCAATCTAATAAATTATCCTAATACATTACTTTAACTTAGCTAAGCCAACAATAACTATACCCTAAAATAAAATATTATTATTTAAATTTAGCCCAAAATAAAGTGTTTAATTGTGTTAATGTTTTAGATAATTTTTTATTTTATTTTGAGATTTGACGAAATATCACTAATTGTAACTAGACAAAGTTTAATGACTTTTATTATCCAAAATCTTTGATCTCAACTAAATCACTTTTAGTTATCTGGGAATGAAATTCTTTCAACATAAAATTGTTGATGAAATTTTGTAACATGTTCATCTACCACTCAATTTTCGTAAAAATAATATATTCATATCGATTGTCAAAAGAAGTTTTAACTGCATAATTTATTACAAGTGTATATTGAATATGGCTAAAAAAAATCGAGTCAAATTTCATTCAATACAAAACTTTTCTACTACAAAGTTTTATTCATATATCACTTTTCCAAAGTATTAAAACCTTAATCAATCATCATCTTAACGATAAATTTAGAAACATACTTTGAAACATGTTTATGATAACATCTCAATAGGAAAGACCAAACGGGTTTCTTAGGTGCTACATTGCATTAAATAAGGTGATATACAAGAGAGAGGAGTAAGGTATGAAAGTTCAACCTTAAGTTCTTGGCCAATTTCAAGGCTTTTATTCACTTTTTAAATTTTATTTACTTATTTTTCATTAAAATTTATGACAATAAAAAGCATTAGAAAAGTACAGTGTGGCTAAAACTTGATTTACTCAACACCTTTTACATACAACCAAAAGCGTAAAAAAATAAACTATATAGGATAAATATTACTATAATTATAACAATGACAATACGCATATACGAACTACCTAATCTAGTCATACGATTATTTCAAGAAGCAATCAAGATGTAGCGTAAGTTTATTTGAAGTTGCTAATTACTACAATAGAATAGCAGTATAAAGAAGCCTACATTATGATTTGCACCTAAGCCTCCAAAAGTGTGAGCTACAATGAATATCCTCTTCCGTGTAAATACCACGCCACCCAAGGAAGCACTTGATCTTAGATGAATTATCAATTAAATCAATCATGGTTAAAAAGAAAAAAAAAAAAAAGCAAACAAAATTGATACTCAAGATCTAAGGAGCATTTAAATAAAAATGTTCTCTCATTTGTTTAATGTACTTGTACCAATTTCAGAGCAAGAGAAAGTGAAAGCAACTATTTGTAGCTATGAAGAAATGCATAAAGAAATTTATCACCTAAATGAATAGATCATCTAAGGCTTTGTTTGGGAGTTGGCATCTAAAGAGAATGGTAAAAAAGGGAAAAACTTATATGATGGTTATATTTGTTTGAGAGTTTTTAGATGAAATGAGAGGGTTTATAATTTATCCAAAACTCTCATAGTCACATGTTTTTAAATTCTCCCAACTAAGGAGTTTAGCATTAACTCTCCTTCCTCTCCCTTACCTTTCAAACTCTTTCCTTCTCTCTCTCCAAACTCAAATAAAACTTAACAAAAAATAAATAACTCATGGAGGAAATACATTCATAAAATTCGTAGGTATATAATCTGTAAAAAGCAAACTAGACATTTCTTGGTAGAAAAAAGCAAACATACTAAGCATGTGACATAAACACAAAATAAAAAAAACATATTGAAGAAACATGAACATATCCCATAACTGTAATGTAAAAGTAAACATCTACTACTATCATAAATATATATATGACTTGAACTATAGTAAAGAAAAATACAAACTTAGGTGCAATCATTATGTCTTAAATAAGATAGTGAGATCGAGTTAATTTGGAGACTAAACAAAACGTTTTATTATTCAAAAAATAACCCATTTAAAATGTCCTAGATTTTACATAAGTTCAAATTTTAACTGATGTAGAAAATATTTTCTACATTGACTCAAAGGCAATATATTTTATAAAAATTATGTTATTTTTAAAAATGTTGTCCCACATTTTATTAGATGGATTAATTATTAAAAAGTACTATCATCATCTTCATTAGTATCATTATTATCTCCATTGGTACTTTGAGGGATAAATATGAAGTTGTTGCTTCATGCATGAAAGTCAATAAAGTGATGTTGAAACTTGTAACAAATATTAATGGTGGCAATCCAAAAGCATGTGAGGTAGAAGGAGACATTTTGAAAAGAAAATTAAGGTGCATATAAAGAAAATGTTTTTAGTTGGATTCTAATAGATGACGTAACATATGATTGAGACATTGAAAAGGCATTGGTTTTTACATCTAATCTTGTAGTTCAATTATGATGTTCATATGTCATCATTGGATTTATAAAAAGAGGAACTAAAAAATGATGGTCAGTACAAGCCTTTTCTTGATGTGAGGAATAGTTGAATGTTTGAATATTGTCCAAAATTTTCAACGTGTCAGTGCATGTCTAGTTAACATGATGCATGCCTTAGATAGAATTCTAAAGAATAGTTGGAGACCTAGTATAATCACATATAAACCAAACAAATGAGCACTAAAATGTTATGTGGATTTAAGTTAGTTGGGCAAATTAAGTTTAAAAAAAAGTAAAGATAGAAATGTTATGAAAGGATCATATTGTACCAATTGACTATGATCCTTCTCAAGATATATAATGCAGGTGTGACGAATGAAACATTGTTAATGTTGATAAGGCCAATATACATATGATTTTCTCTTCATGTTGACATTGTGAACTTGATCAACATTTGGTAAGTCTCTATATATCTCTTATAGCATTCCAAATTGGTGTATCATATAATCAATTAGATGTCACTCAATTGTTGCAAACCATATTAATGGTACCTGTGACACTCTCTTTTTCATTATTCACAAAATAATGCTTTATTTGATGTTAAATAGTATTAGGATGTGCTTAGGAGTGAACTATAAAGAGTCTTAGAAAAAGTGGTGTAAGAAATCTCGCTCAGGTGAGACTGAGCATCCAGAAACACCTTATTTCAAGGTAATCTCGCCTAGGTAATATAAGTCTCGCTCAAGCGAGATAGGATAAATTCAGCTCAACTGTCATCTCGCCCAGACAAGAGTGATCTTGCTCAAGCGAAATGAGTCACTCAGACTAGGACTCACAGGAAAAATATCATGCTCTTTGGATGTCATCTTGCTCAGGCAAGATAAAGCTCACTCACGCGAGCATATTAGAAAAAGTTGGAAAATCACTGTCTGCAGATCTTGTTCAGGCGAAATGTATCTCACCCAGGCGAGCATTGCATCACTCAAGCGAGCATATTAGAAAAATGTTGGAAAACCACTGTCTGCAGATCTCGTTAAGGCGAAATGTATCTCACCCAGGTGAGCATTGCATCACTCAAGCGAGCATATCAGAAAAATGTTGGAAAACCACTGTCTGCAGATCTCGTTCAGTCAAAATGTATCTCGCCCAAGCGAGCATTGCATCGCTCAAACGAGAGCGCGCGGGGTTGAGGGGTATTTAAGAGATTTCCAGCATAGAAATTTTATTTCATTTCAAAACTCATGTTCCTTTATCATTTTCTCTGAACTCTCTCTTCCCTATTCTAGAGAAAAGCCTTAAAAACTCCGAAACTTCACCAAATCCGAGCTCAAACTCCAACTCTACGGAATCATGAGTAAGTATTTCAAAATTCGAACTCCTCATTTTCACTCCTATCTTCTCAGTTTCCTCTTTACTTAAAGAAAATTTTTTCTACAAGGTGTAGAACTACCTTGGTCCGTGAACCATCCTTTTCTCACCTTCTCATCACCAAACTTGTCTTTTAAGGTAAGGAGAGCTCTATCTTGTTACTAAAAAATAGTTGTGTTGTGTTTATGAAAATGTGTGATTTTGAGTATAGAATCATGGCTGGTAGAAGTAGACCCGTGGGAGTCACAAATGAAATTTTGAACCGTATGACTCAAGTACTAAAAGCTCTAGTACAGAATTAGAACGCTAAGCCGACAGAGTATCAAGGATTTTCGTCTTTTACAAAACACAACCCTCGAAGGTTTGAGGGAAAATTTGATCCTGAAGGAGCTAGAGGTGTATCGTGGACATCAAGAAGATTTTTAGTGCTATAGGTTGCCGTGAAGAGCACAAGGTGGGTTATGCCACCTACATGCTAAATGGAGAAGCTGAAAACTGGTGGAGGTTCACCAGCCAAATCTTGCCTCAAAAAGATGGGTATATATCTTGGGAGGCGTTCAAGATTTTCTTTTTGAGAAACTACTTTCCAAAAGACTTACAAAAGCAAAAAGCAAGAGAGTTTCTCGAGCTGAAATAAGGGGACATGTCTGTAGGAGAATATGTGGCCAAATTTAATGAGTTAATGAAATATTGGCCCCCCTTTCAGCATGAAGGTGGTGTGGAGGATCTATGCGCCCAATTCGAAAATGTGCTAAGAGTTGATATTCTCACTGCGGTGAGTGTATTCCAAGTGATGGACCTTCTGACGTTGGTAAGTAAATGCTGGGTCTATGAAGCAAACTCAAAAGGAAAGTCTGTAGACAACAGAATTGGGGGACCAGTGAGGTAAGATAGAAGGCCCTCAAGATTTCAGAGGAGACCCTATTCAGGCCAAGCTCAATCTCAAGCTAGTAGGTTAGGAACCATTGAAGTGTTTTCATTGTGGGGGGCCTCACATGATCCAAAACTGCTCACAGTCAACTGTTGCATGTGGTCACTATGGAAAGATAGGGCATCAGACTAGTGCTTGTTGGTTTGCAGCCAGAGGAGTGGAAGTGTCAGTGGAAGTAACAAGCCAACATTTAAGGGTATTGCGGGATCACAGTCCAATGTGTAAGGCAAGGTGTTTGCCATGACTAGTTCTGAAGTAGCAAAATCTGATGATCTTATCAGAGGTAAATGCATTCTGAAAGATAAGCTTGTAGATGTTCTATTCGACTCTGGTGCTACCCATTCTTTTGTCTCTTTAGACTATGTGAGTTGTCTTGAAATATTTGTTTCTTCCTTGCCATATACTATCGTAGTATCTACTCCTATAAATCAACCTGTGGTGACTTTGCATGCATGTTTGGGTTGTTCTGTGATAATTCATGGTAGAAATTTCTTGGTAGATTTGATTTGTCTACCCCTTTCTCAGTTGGATGTTGTATTGGGAATGAAATGGTTGTCATCCAATCATGTCTTTCTTGATTATAAAGAAAAAACACTAATATTCGGTGATAGTGTACCGAGAACTCCTAGGCTCCTATGTGAGGATGACTCAAGGAACATGGTCAATGTCAAAGCCTTTATGATACTATTTTCTACTGAGGTAGAAAGAAGTGTGAAGGCAGAGCATATATTGGTGGTGAATGAATTCTTAGAAATTTTTCCGAAGGATGTAACCGAACTACCACTAAAGAGGGAGATTGAGTTTACGATCGACCTTATACCAGGAGTAAGCCTAGTCTCCATTGTACCTTATCGGATGTTGCTAATGGAGTTGGCCAAAGTGAAAAGCAAGTTGAGAATCTGTTGGAAAAACAATTTGTGAGGCCAAGCGTATCGCCATGGGGAGCTCCTATACTTTTAGCAAAGAAGAAGGATGGAAGCATGAGAATGTGCATGGATTATCGCCAATTAAGCAAAGTGACGATTAAGAACAAGTACCCTCTTCCCAAAATAGATGACTTGATGGATCAACTGCAAGGAGCCTCGATATTCTCAAAGATTGATCTGCGATCTGGTTACCATCAGATTTGAGCGAAGAATGAGGATATCCCAAAGACCGCATTCAGAACTCGTTACAAACATTACGAGTACTTTGTTATACCATTTGGTGTGGCTAACGCTCCAGCCATATTCATGAATTATATGAATTGAATCTTTCATAAATATTTGGATCAGTTTGTTGTGGTATTCATAGACAATATTCTGATATACTTAAACAACCATGAGGAGCATGCCGAACATTTGAAGATTGTATTACAGATTCTAAGCGAGAGACAGTAATATGCGAACTTTTCAAAATGTGAATCGTGGTTATCACAAATACAATTTCTGGGACATGTAGTATCAAGTGAAGGAATCATGGTTGACTCAGCTAAGGTTGAAGCAGTGTCTCAATGGTCAAGACCTACTACTCCGACGAAAGTTTGAAGTTTCTTAAGATTGACAGGTTATTGACAGGTCTTTAGCATTTTCTTTCATGGATTTCATATCTAGTTTGCTAAAGACCAAGCAGAATCATGATGTCATATGGGTGATTATAGACAGACTGACCAAGACTGATCATTTTCTTTCAGTCAACATGAAGTACAAAATGGAGAGGTTAGCAGAGCTGTATATCAAAGATATAGTTAGGCTACATGGAGTGCCTTCAAGCATAATGTCTGATAGAGATAGATTTACTTCTAAATTTTGGGAGAGCTTGCAAGGATCGTTGGGAACTAAGTTGAAACTTAGTTCAGCATATCATCCTCAAATTGATGGATAAACAAAGCGAACCATCCAAACCTTTGAACATTTGTTGCAAGCTTGTGTGATGAAGCAATAAGGAACTTAGGAGGAGTGTCTACCCTTGGTGGAGTTTACTTATAAGAATAGCTATCATGATAGCATCGGGATGACACTGTATGAGGCTTTATATGAAAGGAAATGGAGAACACCGTTATATTGGTACGAGTTTGAAGAGACAGTTCTGTATGCACCTGACTTAGTTCAAAAGTAGAATGATTAGATCAAGATGATTAGGGAGAAAATTAAAGTTTCTTAAGACAGACAAAAGAATTACTATAATGGCAAGAGGAAACCTTTAGAATTTCAAGTGGGAGATCATGTGTTGTTGAGAGTTTCGCCCATTACTGGAGTTGGTAGGGCTTTAAAATCCCAAAAACTATCTCCCAAATTTATTGGACCATTCGAAATCTTAAGTAGAATTGGTCCTTTAGCATATCAAATTGCATTACCTTCAAATCTATCAAATTTGCATCCTGTATTTCATGTGTCTTAACTCAGAAAATACATCCCAGATCCATCTCATTTTATCAAACTTGATCCTGTCTAAGTTCGAGAAAATCTCTCTTATGATGTATTTCTGGTGAAGATTGTCGATCGTCTAGTCAAGCAGTTAAGGGACAAAGAGATATCTTTGATGAAAGTGATGTGGAGTGCAAATGATGAAGGAGATACCACTTGGCAACCCGAGGACAAAATGAAGGAAGCCTACCCTCATCTCTTTCTGAATCAATGAATTTCAGGGACGAAATTCCTAAAAATGTGACAATATTATAACACCCTCTTTTTCATTATTCAAAAAAATAATGTTTCATTTAAGGTTAAATAGTATTAGGATGTGTTTAGGAGTGAATAATAGAGAATCTTAGAAGAAGTGGTGTAGAAAATCTCGCTCAAGTGAGACTAAGCGTTCAGAAACACCTTATTTCAAGATAATCTCGCTTAGGCGAGATAAGTGATGATCGAAAGATTTGTCGTGAATTCTCATCAAAATATAAATAGAAATTAATGTAATACTGAGAGAAATCTCGCTCAAGTGAGACTAAGTGTCTAGAAACACCTTATTTCAAGATAATCTCACTTAGGCGAGATAAGTGATGATCGAAAGATTTGTTGCGAATCCTCATCAAAATATAAACAGAAATTAATGTAATACTAGGGTGCTAACCCCTATCGTCTCTCATGAATCATTGGATGAGTAACCAAATATCAAACATGTAGTGTGCAATGTATTTAGAAAGCAAGTAGAAAGGGAGGTTTTGTGATTTCAAGTTCGATCTACTTAAGCAGAAAATTAAATTGCAAAGTTCAATTAATAAAATATAATAACCCCTAGTTCATTCATGTAGACTCTATCCTTATTCCTCTCAAGATTTAATACTCTTCCTCCCTTCCCAGAATTAGGTTAATTAAACAAGCAAAAATCAACCTTAGGTTTCCATACAAATTAAGCAATTCAATGGACTCTAATCTCTTATCCCAAGATTACGCAACCTTAGAAATAAACCCATAATTAAGTAATTCAAGTTTAGAATCTCATTAAAATTAATTAGGGTTAATTAAGTAATGTCCCCCCTTATTAAACAATTAACTCAATTCAAGAGATTAGGAAGAAGATATTCATGAAAGAAAAGGATTTGTATTAGCATTCAAAAACTAAGGAATTCAAGAATTCATATGAACTCACTAAGGATTACAAAAAAGTTTAGCCCTCCATGAGGATGGATCTCACAATCACAAAGTAAAAGTTAAGAGAAATCAACAACATCAATGTAAAAATTAAAGAGAAGTAAGAAGAAAATGAAAATCAAATCTTAGGTTGGATCCTTGGCTGTCACCTAAGGCCGACCTAGGCTCTCCCAAAAGTATCCTAAAACCCTAAAAAATCTAAAAGAAAAGGTTCTGTAAAAATTTCCTAACCCTAATTTCCAAAAATCCATTTATAGTGAAGTGGTCATCATCCATAGTAGTTATTATGGTTTCATAGTGATGCAGTACTCCCATAGTAGCTACTATGGTTTCATAGTAGTTACGAGCAGGTCACCATGCTATTTACCCTCTCTAGAGTGTCTACTATGGGTTCATAGTAGCTACACGCAAGACTAGGTGACTTTGGCCTTCTCTGGAGTGTTAATTTTGGAATCAGAGTGATCACTTTGGTCTGCCCTGGACTGTCTACTATGAAACCAAAGTAGCTACGTGCATCACCTCTTCAAACTGGGATCGCACACGGGTCAAAATACACCTAATTACTATAGTACGAGGTAAGCAACTAGAGTCGTTTCTCAAAGAATCACAAGGACGAATTAATCTATTTAGAGAGTATATAAGATGGGAGATTTGTTTATAAAAGAAAAGAAAACATAACTAATTATAATTAGGATGAAGAGTGAACAGAAATTGAAATTCCAATCTAAGAATTAAGAAGAACAATGACTACTCTATCACCGGATTTTTAAGAGAATATATCAACAAGCAATTCGGTAATTAACAATGAATCTGAATGAAACCTCAATTCAAACTCAGCATTCACACAAAAACCTTCATGCATTCGATTAACACATAATCACTTAAAGTTCATAAAACTCTAGAACCTAATTGAATTGTGCCAATTTAATTTACCAATGTCGTTAATCGTAGTTTTCAAACCTAAAAATCTAATTCATGTTCCTTAAAACTGAATTATATGCATCAATCGAATAATACGTAATCAACCAGATGCATAATCATCAATCCAAACGATTAACTTCAATTCAAAAATATAATTAGCAAAAGGAGAAAATAAGGAAGAGATAAAACCGAATTTGTTATTGAATTTATGCCAATGTGAGACCAATCCTCAAGAGTGTCACGTCCCTTTTAATCCTTGAATTAGATGGAAATCTAAGCCTCCATTAATGGAGGAAAATAACAAGTCGTAAAGGTGAGAGGGCTGAGAGAGAGAGAGAACCTAATTTTTAAAATTTAAATTTTTTTTTAGAATTTCGTTTATCCTTTTCTTTCTATCCTTTTGGCTATGAAAACGGCCTCCTTTTGATTGGTGATATGAAGGATAATTGTACCCTTGGATGTTAGCTTCAAAACGCCACTGAATTGGGCTTAATCGGATGTCTGTGGAGTGAGATATGGCCCAAATACTGCACCATGCTCAGGATCCGCGACTACACCGCTTCAGTTCACTTCTAGGCGCAGTTTCAGCTTCTTAACATCAGAATTGAGTTCTGACCTCTTTTTAAGAATTATGCACCTTTCTCTTAGCTTTCTTAAAAATCAAGAATCACAATGAAATGAGCTCTACAACTCAAGATATGGCCCAGAAACCAAAATAGTATCAGAATTTAGCAAATACTAGAAAAATTAAATAAAGCCCAAATAAAATTCAAACATCATAAAATGATCCAATTCAAACCAATTAGGCACAAAAGAGGATTAATGAGCTAGGAATGAGGGGAAATAAGGTTATAAAAATCCAATTGATCAGATCTCTGTAGTGTCTACTACGGAATTAGAGTGATCACTTTAGTCTGCCCTTCTAGATCTAGCTTGTTGTAGTGTCCACTATGGAATCTAAAGTGATCACTTTCAACTTAAACTTTCTCAAATACTAAAAATCCATGGAATAAGTTTAGAAATTCCTGCACAATTATTCAAATGATGAAAATTACAAATTATATCTATGTAAATCAATGTAATATTAGGGTGCTAACCTAGGTCGTCTCCCATGAATCATTGGATGAGAAACCAAATATCAAACATGTAGTATGCAATGTATTCAAAAAGCAAGTAAAAAAGGAAGGTTTTGTGATTTCAAGTTCAATGGAAAGAGAAAGAAACAAAATTATAAGTTTCAATCAATAAAGAGTGGTAACCCCTAGTTCATTCATGTAGACTCTATCTCTATTCCTCTTAAGATTTAATACTCTTCCTCTTCTCCCATAATTAGGTTAATTTAACAAGCGAAAATCAACCTTAGATTCCCATACAAAATTAAGCAATTCAATGGACTCCAATCTCTCATCCTAAGATTACACAACCTTA